GAGCTGTATCCTTGTTGTATTTCTTTGGGTTGTCCCATAGCTGCTGCTTCCAGAACTGCACTGTTTCTTGTTTATCAGGTGTTGACTGGTTCATTGCAGTCTATTATTATTATTGCTACTGCTACTGCTACTGCTACTACTACTACTACTACTATTTGAAACTTACAGTTATGACCTTACCCCACTATTAAATATTCACAACTTACTTGTTGGTAGAGTCATAATAATGCGGGTGCAGGCATCCCCCATAAGTGTTCTGGCATTTTTTGTGTTTGTAAATGCCCATACACTCACTGAATAATTTGTGTAGGGTTTTAAACCGGTCATTGTATAGTTCATCTTATTAGAAACTTCTGCTAGAACAGGAACTAGAATGGAAAGAAATGTTAAAAACATAAATATACCCAAATATAAGTAATGTTGATGGAGACACACAAAATCAGAGATAATTATTGGCACTTCATTTTCACAAAAGGAAGCCAATCTCCCATTAAAATCACCAAAATTAAGATGGATGAACATATTAAATTTGGTTTCTTATGTTTTCTTAATCCAGCAAGTTTCATTTGTCAAAGTGAGATCTATTTTTTTTAAAAAAGTTTACACTAAGATTTGTATGCATTTTGATGTATATTTTTTCCAAACATATCCATTTCATTTGCAGTTTTGCATAAGATAAGTTTTGCAATTTTCTTTAACACAATGCATTTATGTACAGCACATTATTTTCACAAATATATGCATTTTTGTAAATACTTTTCTTTAATATACTTTTTAAAATTAGAAAACTGTGAAAGTGTGCATTTTGTTCTACATTAGTAAGAGTTAGGTTTAGGATGAAATATACTTTCAAATCCAAACTAAACAAATTTCTTGCCTTTTCCCCAACATTTTTTTTCAGTTAATTTATCCTCAGTTGATTTTTACCTCAGAACATTTATTTTATTTAACAAGTTTTTTTTTCATATAACAATAAATTAATTATTTAAATTATTTACTTAAACATTAGGGCAATTATTATTGGAGTTAGTGCTGGAATTTGGAAGAAGGAGGTTCCAGTTCCAATAAATTCTACGTCTGTCTATCTGTCTGCCTACCTACCTATCTAGGGAGATTAATTCCCTAACTGGAGATGATGGATGGACAGAGAGATAGATATAGATTTCCTGTTCTTTCCCTCCACTGCCGAACTCCACTGCTGAACTTCCAGCCAGAACACTGACTTTTCCTTTATTTCTATATTGGTCTATATGACAGAACTTTACCTGAAACTAAAAACAATCTCTCTCTATTATCTCAGTCCAGTCCTGTTCAAATTTTGTCCTTTTTTCCAAGAAAAAACAGGAAGTCAATAAGATCTAAGGGAAAACAGTGGTGTTTGTGAACAAACCTGGTTTCATGTGGCCTAAGGCAAAATTGGCCAGAGATGTTTTGCCATAAAGGACATGTTGACATCCCTATCTGTTCTATTGAACAATAGATATCAATATGAGCTGGAGTGGCAGTTGACTTTTATATTGGCACTGATGCAGTGCACAGGTGCCAAGATATCTGAGCTGTAGTACTGGTTGTGTGGCATCCACTGCCCTCTCCTCCAGGAGAAAGGGAATAATCTGAGGTCCAGAAGGAATGGCTGAGTAGTAGCCACTGTCCTCCCTCCCCCCCCCCTCCCAATTTCTGCCACTTCTATCTACTGAATGAAAGAGGTACGATGCCTTCAAGCTACGTTGGGATCATACGGGAAGGAGAACTCTTCAGTATGAAGGAGTCAATACAGAATCAAACTATTTTCAGTGTTAGTGGTAGAGATGAGAAAACTACTCTGCAAATACCTGTGAAATTAACTATGTTACTCACCTCCAGTAGAGAAAACTGATTGCTGAAAGAAGGAGCAAATGAGAGCAGCTACTTGCCAAGGTTATGAAAATGGTCCATCCAGAAAATTTTAAAAACAATTTTTAAAAATCCTGAAAAGTGCTTTCAAACAATTATAAATACATACCAGTAGTACATACCAATATATACATACACATATACATATACATATACATACATACACATACATACATACACATGCATACATACATACCATCAGGATTCTTATCTATTTTGACTTTATAACCATCAATAGGGCCTTGTGCTTGATGTTGTGGTGCCTCCCAAGTAACTGTTACATTTGTTGTAGTTGGTTTGACTAAACAGTTTTCAGGTTGGTCTGGTCCTGACACAAAAATTAACAGAAACCACTTTTATCAAGTAATCATAAAGTAATGATCTCTGGGACACGTCAACAATAAGTAAAATATGAGCAAAACAAACCATGACTATGTTTTACAGAAGAAAAATACAACCACTGTCCAGTAGTAGATAGCTTCACAAGCAACATGGTATATTTCCAGAAAATGCCAGGAATTTCAGGTATCAAAAAAGGTTATCTACTCCAAGCAGAGTCAGAATACAAGACTAGGAAGCCCTGTGTAGGGTTAGTGAATGACTATCCACCTAGACCAGTGTTGTCCAAACTTGGCCACTTTAAGATGAGTAGACTTCAACTCCCAGAAT